TGTCTTGTTTGTCTAATATCGTCTTAGTTTTATGGCATTTGTCTTATATTGTCCTAATTTTCTGGCATATTTTTCATTTTTTGTGTTATATTGTCTTCATTTTATGTCGTTATGTGATGTTGTCCTAATTTTTTTGCCATATTTTGTGCTGTTCATCTTACATTGTGCTAATTTTGTGGCATATCTTCTGTTATCAATGTTAGATTGTCTTTATTTTCTGACATATGTTTTATTTGTCTTGTGTTGTCTTAATTTTGTGCCATATTTTATGTTATTTGTTTAATATTGTCTCAATTTTGTGCCATATTTTGTGTTATTTGTCTTACACTATCTTAATTTTAGTACACTTGTCTTATATTTTCTTAATTTAGTGACATATTGTGCATTATTTGTTTTATATTTACGTAATGACATGTTTTGTGTTCTTTGTCTTGTATTGTCTCAATTGAACAGCATATTTTGTGTTCTTTGTCTTACAGTATCTGTGATTCACTCGTTAATTCTTTGCTTTTGCAGAAAGAGCTTTTTAATGTCACTAAGAAGCTTTAATAAAGGTTAAATGCAAATTTCTCAAAAAAAATGTATGATTTCAGGTCAAACCTCACCCAGGATATCTTAAGAGGGGTCAGAGGCTGTAAGGAGAATTCAGGAAACGGTGAGTGTTACAACACACATGCACTTACTGTAAATCCATTATGCAGGGCCATGTGGCAATTTTAAGAAAAGTGTCATACTTTATTTTACTTCCAGTCCTTTCCTGTTAATTGCCTGACTCTCTCACACATGGATTATGGGGCTTAAACAAGTCCAACGCTGCCTGAAAACTCAAGCATTTAGTATCTATTAAGGGATTTCATTAGGTGTATGTTCCTGACCAATCCTCCAGGTCCCAGTGTACACATTTTAATCAGTTCCTCTCTTGCTGGAGGTCATGCTGGCTGCACTGCAGGGCTCGCTGCATTTAAAGAGGCTTATGAAATGTGATGGAAAGCGATGCTGGAACTGCACAGGTTGCTCGCTTGCACTTTTAAATCGTAACCTTGGTGACCTGACATCTCTTTCTACACTCCGCTCTCTATGCTGCTGCATTTGTGACATGGTTTCTCTCTCACGTTCTCGTATCGTTTGTCTTCCCCTTCCTTCGATTTCTCGTTCTGTTCCTCAGTGGTCCATCGGAGGCGTTCTGTGATGTCGGGCGACGATGTGTTGCTCCAGTGTGAACTGCGCTCCAACCTGGCGACGCCACGCTGGACGCTAAACGGCAAGGAGCTGCAGGGATACGGCCTCAACTCGGGCTACCGCATCGGCACAGACGGCCTCCTCATCATCGGAGCTCGCCCCCTACAGAGCGGCTCCTATCGCTGCTTTGCTGTGGAGAACTCCGTGTCGGTGCTGGTTTATTTGTACACAGTAAGGGTTCACACGGATCCCTACTTCCCCGTTGAGCCCACAGTCACAACTGACCCAACTACGGTGGCCAGCCCGACTGTCTTCTCCACCAGCAGCCCCACCGAGCAGCCTCTGCCTTCACCTCCCGCCCCGATGCCTCCAGAACCAGCGTTCCAGACCTACAGACACATGGAGGCCGTGTACATCTCCCTGGTGGCGGTTCTCGGAGGACTTTGCCTGGTGTTGACTGTGGTGCTGCTTTACGTGAGCTTCTGCACCAGACGGGCCTCTCAGGACCGCAAGTTCTCCCAGCAGGGTCTGCAGGTCCTGGGGGCCTCTGAGAGAAAAAGAAGCTCCCATCTGGAACTCAAAACCATTTCCAGCCACTGCAACGGCCGCCAGAGTCGTCGCTCCATCTCGGTGCCGACCTTCGGGGACATCAGCGACAGCTTCCTGCAGATAGTCCCAGGCGAGGGCCAGCTGTCTCCAGCCAAAACGCCTCCCCCGGCTCCTCCTCTTCCCATGCCGCCTCCCCTTCCCAACATGGACTACGCCAATGGGCTGTCGGCCACCTTGCCAAGCGTCCTGCGGAAAATGAACGGGAACAGCTACGTACTTCTGCGGCAGGCTGACCCCGACGGCATGTCGCCACTGTACCACTCCTTCACAGAGGAGCTCAACAGGATCCTGGAGAAGAGGAAACACACACAGCTGGACCTGCAGCCTGATGAGAGCTCCATCTAGGACGCCTTGTCTTGGTCTTTCGTCCCACAGTTATTTATTTTTACCCCAACGGTGACCCGTAGTCGTGGGGACTGTCGTAAGAAACGCTGCTGTTATTTAACCCAGTGTCAGAGTACCTGCAGGTGGTGTCCTAAACCTGATCTGAAATGTGCAGCCTCGTGTTCCTCCCATGACAAATGGCCCATGATTTCACTTTCAACACGGATGGACAACACTAACCAGAGATTCAAAAAGTGGAGCTGTGAAAAAAATTTGGCCATAGACTGCAACGGCTTAAAGAGTAGGGAGCTTAATGATGCTACCTCAGGCTTGTGAAAGATGGTCACATGACACAAAAAGGCAAAGGGGCAACAATGGACATGGGTAGTAAGAAATAAATCAGGCCAGGAGGTGAACAAGCATTTTTAAGACTGAGGAGATGTTCAAGAAGTTTTAGTTTCATGCAATATTCTCTGAAGCTTAATGTGACACTCCATCTAAAGTGTGTCTTCTGTGTGTTGTTACTAAGCATTAGGCTGCTGTGGAATAGTGGAAAACTACCTAGAACTTCACATGTTCACAACCTGAGAACTTCTCCCTGCGTGCACAGGATGCTCCTGTTTGGACTGGACTCATCAGCAACTGTACAATAAGAACTTCAATGAGGTGGAAACAACAGTTTTGACTGGCTTGATTTGAGAAGTTCTGGGGAAAAGGAAGGCTGGTAATCATTACAAATTTAATACAACAACTCGTGCTTTTGAGAGCAATCACTGGCTCATAAGGAGGCATGCCCACCTTACTAGAAGTAATAATGCCCTTCCCTAAAAATGTACTAATCCACCAAACTAAAGGACTACTCAAAGACCTGTCCAAACTGTATCTGCTTGAACAAGCTCAAATAGAAGCAGTGTATTTATCTCTATTGTCACAAAAGCATTGTGTTCGCAAAGTATTGCTCTTATGGATGGACAAGGAGAAGTGACTTATGCTGCAGAAATGCTTGTTGTTTTTCTACAGTGAAAATCCATTGCAGGGCTGTAACTAATGATTATTTTCTTAGTCGATTATTCATTGTCTGAAAGGTCGTCATAATTTCTCACATTTTCAAATCGGAAACCTGTCACTGTTCGACATTTTTGCTGCTCGATCGCTTTCACCTAATCCTTGAGACTTGAGCAGCTGTTCTCTGCTAACCCACTGAACCCCAAACAATTTCCTGGTGTTTTCTTGGCTTTAGTCACATTTTTACTCACTGTGGACTTTGTCAAAGCAATATAAAGTTCTGCACCTCAGTGGAATTCGCACAACCATGACCAGACGTATATAGAACTCAAAGGTGTCTTTTGTGCAGTGGAACAAAATTATAATGTATTAAATCTTAAAAAAATGTAAAAAATGAGAATTACATTTTTTTTTATTACTAATTTTACAAAAATTGAATAAAATAAAATCAATCTAGTGGCTCATCAGTGGCTCTACATACTATGGATATTTTACAATTACATTTTAAATTTGCTTCTGTATTTGCTTCTTATCTACTCTGTGTAAACACTGCCTGCAGTTCAGCTTAGTTCATCTGAAAACTCCCTGAATTTTTGCCATGTTGCTGTTGGTTTCAGCTGAGTCGCAATTAGCTCCACGTTTGCGCTGAGGAGTGCAGAATATTTTGTTTTTTACAGAATTTGGTTAGAGCAAGCAGGTTATTTTTTATATGAAATATAATCAGACATGTCAAAGTGATTTTGGTGAATCTCACTTTTTTGGGCTTAGATTTGGATAATATTCCAAACAGAATGTCACTTCCGGAAAGCAGAAAATGCCACGATTTGTTCTGTTTTTACAGTTTCTGGCTCTGATAAATGCTGTAATTTCAGACAACGTGGGGTTCAGAGGGTAAGCAGGCAGCTGTGATCGTTGCAACGGCCAAAAATATAGGCTTTGGTTGGAGTGTCACTTTAGGAATCCAGTCTCGATACAGTGCATGAGAGCACAGGTGTTCAGACAAACCATACATTTCAACATATTTATTTCAACCACGCTTTCTTCATTTCCCTTCATGTAAATAGCAATAATCGCGTCCCTGTCGCAGCTGTTAGTAGCAACGTGTTGTGCCGGCGCCAATGAATACACCTGTAGCAAACCGTGAAATATCCCCTTTGTTTTATCCTGAAATCTTTCTGTTTTTAGCGTCTGTGTGAGAAAAGAGATAAAGCTGTCTGAGAGGAAACGTGTGCAGTTTACTAAAGGAGAAGTCAGTGTGCGGTCAGGTTGATTGATTTCACTGAAGACTATAGACTGGAAAACACAGCACACACTAAGAGCAAGAGACGCAGGAGAAAAATGCTTAAACCTGATGTTTTATATTTAGACACCTACATACTCGCCTTTTTTTTCGACTGAAGGTCTATTTTTGGACATGTATTACACGTTGAAGACTTTGCATTCTCTGAAGACATCATAGCTTCAAGAAAACACTTACAAAGGAAAATTTGATCTCTTAAAACAACACTAATGACAGACACCGGTTTGTCCTCTGCTGTGAAAAAGCCTCTGGTGGCAAGTGGCCAAACCACAGAGGTAAAGACCTTCACACATGCAGCCCACGAAAGCAACCTCAGTGTTTGCCTGACATGAGTGCAATGCCAAAACAACGAGATCTGCAGAGCTTACAGTATTTCATCAGCAAGGTGAACAGCGCTATGATTGAGTAGCGCATGTATAACTTAGTGGGAACTGACTGAAATGAATCTCGGAGTAGTTTGCAAACGTGTCACGAGCCGTGGTAAATAAAGATCTGTCTTTGCAGTAAAGTGATGAATCAGCTCCTGTAGCTCGCAGCAGCAGCAGCAGCAGCAGCAGCAGCAGCTCTCTCGTGACTTGCAGCGTGCATCTGTCAGAGCGTCGCTGACAGTAACAGCAGCGTTTGGCTCACCTCCACCGAGAGAGGACAGCAGCTTCTTGTCTGTTTGCATGAGGTGCTGTCCTCTCTGCAGGTAGAAGCCGATACAGAACATTTGACCTGTGTGTCCTGGTTAGCCATGCAGGAAACAAACGGTGATACAAGCAGACAGGAGATAGTTTGCACTTGCAGGGTTTCAGTCGTCTTCTTGTCTGAGGCACCTTGAATGGTCTGTTACTGAGGATGTTGGTCTGTTACTGAGGATGTAGTCCAGGCTGTGCACGCTTTGCAGACTGTAACTGTCCTTTTCCACATAGAAGAAATGCTGTCTGGTTACTGGCCTGTATAGTATGATTCAATCAGTGCGTGCTGGCTTATGAAATTCTTGGTTTTGAACTTTGCACTGCAATTTTTTTTTGTCACTTTATGTGCATATATCATGAACATTGGTGTGGAGAAACTCTCCATAATCTTTTTGCAATTCATAGCTACTGTTTAGAACAGCAGTTATTTGAGCCACTCCGACCTGGTGATGAGCACCTTCTGATATGGTCGACCCACATTTAATTGCTTTGGTTTTGAGTAGGAATGTTGGACTTTTGCATATATTTTCCAACAAATTTTGGCCAACACATGCACATATTTTCCCCACATAACTGCAGAGAATATCACATTTCTCCTACAGTGATATATATTAATATGCTATTTTGGCTACTCTTGTGATGTAAACAAAATACAATGCTTTTCATATATACACATCAACTTGGCGAAATAGGAAAACTACTTCAACTTACATGTAAAACATGCCGTTTGTATTTTTTGTAGCATTTTCAAACAAAAGTTTTAACTGCCGTTATCTGCCTGTCAAGGTTTTTTTGGGGCCAATGCTGAAATTCATCGCTAGTTTTAAGCCTACTGGAATTTTTAACTACTGTTTTTTTTTTAAGTCAATTAAAGGGTTGTTTTTTTATAGGATACATCATGAGTGAGATCATCAATCACAGCTTTTTCATATCTGCTTTAAAACGACATTGTACAAGTGAAAGTCGCAAAAACCCTGATTCAGACAGTCCAGGTTTCATTCATAACAAACCTTAGGAACCAATTGCTGTTAACTTGCAGCGTGGGGCTTTTTGTATCAAGCTGCTTCTTCAGTAACTCAAACATATTGCTGCTAAAGGAAGCAACAGCGTAGAGATAAATATAAGGTATTTTAAGAAATGAAGTGAATATTTTAATAGAAAAAAATTCTAAGTGTGTAATTTGAATACACAGAAGAATTTATAAGTGTGACCATGGTGATGAATGACAGAAAAGGGGCTTTGCTTTGATAAAAGTCCTATTTTCTTGCATTATGGGTCTGTGCACTGCAATAAAAATTTGTCTGAATAGTTTCCATTTGGTCGTGGCAAAAGCCAGGGATGCCTGCTTTCACTTTTGGCGTTTGTTCTTACAGTGAAATCCAAAAATGGGCATTACCGAAACTGTGGATTTCCACTGTATGCAGACGACTCACTTTTCTACATTTCAAACCCCACTAAGTAAATAGCAAATGTTTTGGACACCTGTCATGCTTTGGAGGAAATGTGTGGTGAAAAACTGGATTTGGGAAAGAACTGAACTTCTTTCTAGCTGCATTTAATGTCTATTGAGGTTTGACTTTGTTCTAACCAGAGAACAGATCACTATATAACTTAACATACTGGATTTTTCAGCTTCTCCTCAGCCTTTTTAGCCATTTCACTTGTTTCAATCGCCGCCTTCATTCCCTCCCTCTCTGCCTCTTTTCCACCTCCCTCGTTTCCCCGTCTCATCACCTCTACATGACACTATCATCTATTACTCTCTCCGCTCACATTCACACTCTTCTTTCAAGGACCCTGCTGAGTATACAAATGGCCCCTAATCAGAGACAGTTTTCAAAGTGCTCTCAAGTTTGTACTTTTGCAAATGCAGGGATTGGAGTGCCAATGAGACTTTGTGCAGCTGTTTAAGATAAATCGTGTTTTTTTGTTTTGTTTTGTTTTTTTTAGATCTCTAGCTGATGTTTTTATTGCACAAATTCCCCATAAGAGTCAAATAATTATCTTTATCCTTAAATTTTTAATGTATTCACAATGCTAAGAGGCTCGCTAATCAAAAAGAGTATCAATTTTAATCAATGCTAATTTATAAGTGGAGCATTTTATTTAAATTAAAGTGTTTTTGTTGGGCTACATTTCATTGCAAGTTTGACATTTGTGAAATGATTGCAGTTTCTACTGAGTTCAACATGTTACTGTACTTAAACTTGTATTACGTAAAACTTCCCATAATCAAGTTGTGGAGAATCTTCGAGTTATGGGAAGCTTCATTTGAATATTTGGCCATCGCTGCTGCTGCTGTTGCTGCTTTATTCTCACTCAAGGACTATGTGTTTACAATAGACACTGTATACTGTACAATGGACTTCAGATGAAATATGCTCATTCATATGCACACTGTACACAAACACACAGCGAAGCACTTGTTTTTGCGAATTCTCTTACGGTAATTACATCCTGCTGTATCAATACGCAGTTATATTTTACATTTTATGTAGATGTTCATGAATCCTTCTTGTGTTTGCCAAAGAAACTGGTGTAAAGATTTGCACTGTTCTTTCTTGAGTCATGTCGTAGTAACTTGTGGCACTTTTCCATCAACTTTGTTCTGTATTATTTTGATGTAGATAATGATCTTATCTATGTGGTCTCCTCAGAATATAACTGACTGATCCCTGCTTCTTGTAAGATAGTTAAACCACCTGAGCTGTTTAAAGAGAATGGACTTTTTTTTTCTTTTCTTTTTTTTTTTTTAAGTCTCATGTCTTATTTATTCCAGTTCATTAAATTTCCACTGGTGTTTGTGCAGATAAAAAACAATTTGCATTATGTTCTACTTGAGAAAGAAAGAAAAAAAAAAGAAAAAGTTTGTTGTCAACAGCCCTGAGGCGAAGTCAAGAAATAACATGCAAGACATGTTCACACTGAATCCTATTCTCAAGATGCCGTGATACCCGGTTTGTTTTTAGCTCGTGGCGAGCAGCGAGGCCACTGTCCTCCACTGAGAATAGATCCCACAACACCCCGAGAGTCATTTACATACATGCATGACTCTGGCAGGGCAGAGGTTTAATATAAGCTTCGGGAAGGAGAGGAGGGGGGGTAAAAATTACCATTTTCAGAGCAGCGTTAAAGGCTGTAACTTAGCAACAGCAACTCTATTTAGAGCCTTTAATGTCCTAGTGAGGGTCAAGCTGTGCCATTTCCCATTGGGAAGAGCAGGTGTGATGAGAGCGCAGGGGCTGTGATATTTGTAATTGGTGCGATAGATAAATTTAAAGTAAGACATGAAACAGCAGAACACATTTCCAGCTCACTAAATGATGCTTGAATTCCTTTTATTAAAACAGCTGAAGCAGCTGCACTCTCCCTCCTAATGTGCACTTTAATTTCTCTTGAATTTGTTTTAATAAGTTTGCAGAGGATTTTAATTTAGCCACTTGTAATGTAACTGCAGTCTATATGGCTGAGGGTAATTTAAGAGAAGGGGGCATTATCAAAAATGCAGATATGTGGTAGTGGTGGTGGTGGGTGAATTCAACAGCAGTATCCTGCAGCAGAGCTCAGTTCCAGCGTTTCATCACCAGCCTCTGCAGTCACATCACTCTATTCTACATAAATTTTCACAAACAGCTTAACCATCTCCTCTGGCCAGAGTTATATATGCCAGCAGACTAGTCTATCAATCAGTCCTGGAGCACCTTTCACTCCAGGCAAGTCTGCATATTTGTATTCATCTGATGACCAGCGCTCGGTCGTATGCACGCGCATGTTTGTGAGAACAACGCCGAGGTCAACCCTGGATGTCTTTTGCAGTCAAAAATGATAAATTTAGGATGAGAACTGCAAAGAAAGCAGCGAGTAGTTTTTGCCAACATCTGCCTTGTTGAATTTGAACAAATCGCCCGCTGAAGGAGTGTTAAGTTTTCTCTTCTCATCCTGAGGACAAACTCGGTGAAGGTTAAGGGTTGTCCCTCAAGCGATCGCACAACCATCTGTCATGTTCATTTAAGCTCGGGATCATTTAAGGATGTGCAGCAAGGACACCTTCAAACCGAACCAGCGTTAAACTGCAAAAACATGCTCATTCCTCATGCCATAAAAATAAAAAACCACCTACACCTTGTGTTTTTCTTGTCTGAAGTAGTCTAACTGCAGTTAAATCACTCAAACATAATGATTCAGACAGCACAACTGCAATCAGTTTAGCTCTGTTGATCACCTCCTGACAACCTGCACAAACACAACTCAAAAGAAAATCTAAATTTAAACACCAATGCCAGCGTTTGCGCACAAAAAAAAACATTTTTTATTTCGTACAAAGTTCCGTCTGCTGCAGAGTGCAGTACTCACTACACAAATCTTCAAATAACCTTGAGATTAAAAACAGTTATCTGCTTTTTAGTATGCCAGCTGACAAGCCTCTGGTGGATTCATTTATAGTCTATTCAAATGTGGCATTCAGAGCTCGTACTGTGAACATTTCTCTGCGAGTGGCTTTGCTGCTGCCAGCAGACAGAAGGGCACGGTCAAAAACATTCACACAATAGAGGGGTCCTCGGCATGGTTATCCAACAGATTAATAAGAAAATAGCTGCAAATACCATAACTGTCTGACCTGTGATTTAATTAGATGGCAGACATTTCAGAAAGAAAAAGACGTATCTTCTACAGAAATAGAAGGAAAGCATTGTTTTCTGGAAACATCCATCTGTTTTGCTCAGTCTTTATTCAGTGTCGGGTTTCTGAGGCCTGATGGGGCCGATGGATGGAGGCCGGTTAGTGAACGGATGCCACTGGCCCTGGATGCTGGGACTGTCTGTGTGGAAAGGTTTGCGGATGCGGATGACGTCGAGGCCGGACTGATTCGTCAGTTTGGTCAGAAGCTCTGAAATCTGCGGAGCCGTTTTGCTCGTGATGATTTCTTCCCTCACATTGCCGTTTACTGCAAGAAGGGAAAAGATGAACATGTGAGTGGCTTTGAAGGGGACGGCATGATTCAGAGTGGCACTATTTAACTCAGTTACATCAAACTCATGTCATGTAACTTCTGACTAATCAGAGAGAACCTAGTGCTACACTGCCCCCTGCAGTATTTAAGAGTGCTACTTTACTCACATTTAGTTTTCATGTTTCATATTTAATCCTGCAAAACCACAGAGCTCTTTATCAAAAAACCTGATTATAATCCTGAACCTGATCTTCAGTCATTGCTATGACTGCAAACAACATGCAACAGCTCGATCAAACTGTTCAATAATCAATCAAACGCGTTACCTAGAAAGGCTGCTTAAAATTATAATAGCAGCAATAATAAAGAAGAATGCAGCTATTTAGTCATTTTAATTACACACTTCACTAAACAAACCACATATAAAACTTGAAGACATTGCAATAAATGTTAACTTTTTACAGTTAAGTTTAATATGCGACTTAATTCTTGTGTAATTAACAGAGTATTTTGGTAATAAGATACAGAAAATTGCAGCATTAGTCAGGACAAAATACATCTGCTGGACATATTTTTTAAAAAGTTGTATTTGTTCACTGCAAACACTCAATTCAACATGAATGACAAACTTTATGACGATTAGGAGCTGACTGCCTGGCTGATCATCAGATCAGATATTTATAATTTTTCTGATTAGGGAAGTTGTTATTTCAGAAAAATTTAACATTCATTCATTAAAGTATTCACAATTCAAAAGAATTAGTTCTGTTCTAAAATTTGACATTAAGATTTTCATTTTTACTTTAATCTGTGGATCAGTTTCAAATATCTCTTATCAGCGTCCTTGGTTACCAATAATTAGACTGAGAAAAACCTTACTGGTCACCATGAATGAATGTTTACTTGAGTTTAATACAATTTCTGTTGATTCTGCCTGTCAGTTCTTTCAGTGAAAGTCCTCTGATATCTATATAACGACAACAACTCACTTTTACTCTGTTTTCTTTAAAATAATCATCAGCAACTTACATGGTTATTTAAACAAGCATCATCCCTACTTAATAAGAAAACTAAAGCCAGAAATTGTAAATAAAAAACCAGTACAGGGAAAAAAGAAGTTCAGGTTTAGTCAGCTGTTCAGTCCAAACACGGGTGGTCACTTACAGTATTCGGCAACTATTTTGGGGACCCTGCAGGACTGAGGAGACACATAGACGACAGTTCCCGGGTTGTTTTTGGCATAATCCACGACTCCTTCCTCAATAAAATCCCTGAAAGAAAAGATGATGACAGTTTGGTGAGGGTGGTGGATTTTTTTCATTATATGTATTTTTTTGAACTAGGATGAGAGAAAAAAGTTATGATTTCTCATATTTGTGCAGATCTCTTCCTCAGATTTCTCTTTTATTCTTTTGGTTGTTGTAGCAGCACAAAAATAAACTTTGAGATGTAAAAATAAAATTAAAATTCTAATAATTCTATGTGTTAAATGTCTACAGAGACAAAAGAAATCAATCAGTAAGAACCACATAGGAAAACAAAGAGCTGTTATTGTACATGAATGTGATTAAGACTGACTCCTAACATAACGGGGTCTTATATTATATAAAATAATACTAGCTACATGATCTATAGTAATAAATGGCGTTATGGAAACCAGGTGTTTGAAAATGTCACTATTGATTTGCACATTAGCAAACCTTTACTTTCCTGTATAGGCCATGATTCAAGCTGCTGACTGCGTGTAGTACTGATAAAATATATACACATAAACACATTACAGTCGTCTGTCAGTGATTTCTTATTTATTTCTCTGCTTTTTTACCTCACTCCCAGCGAGCTCTGTGCCTTTTTGGAGAAGATGATGGAGATCCGTTTGAGCTGGCAGACGTAGCGACCGACGCCGTTTTGAAGAACACTCTTCAGGAAGCGACTCGGCGTCCCTCTGGCGGTCATGGTTTACCCGTGAGTTCACTATTTAACTAATAACCCATTAAAGGGAGAAAAATAAACCGAAATAATGGGTTAAACAGCAGCAAAACTCACAGAGGACGACTTGACGGGCATGCGCTTGGCGCTGTCCGTCGGGGAAGTTGCTCCGGAGTGAAACACCTAACTGGCATGGTCGTTACACAAAATACGAATTTATCGTGAGACTTCTTCTGTTTTTAAATTAAAAATAATAACTGTGATATTTATTTATATAATATACACGTACAGCTTTTTAAATGTTTACGCGTTAAATGTAATGTCATCTCGTAGTTCGCCGCTTTTCCCTGTATGTTTCACCCGGACTTGTTTTGAGAGCGCACCGAAAAGCCCGGGTGACAGTGGAGCATGGGAGAAGCTGAGGACAGACATCAGAGGCAGTAAGCTAGTTTTTGTGCGTTTGTTGCGATGCCAAATGTAATTTATTTTAAAGTGAAGCCTTTTATACGCCTTCACGTTAATCTTCACGCACCGTCTGATTTATTTTAACCCAAACATAACGGTTTTGTGCTTCACTCTCCGCCCTCTCTCTGAATAACTGGGTCACACATGACTTGACTTTGCAGTTAGTTTCTTGTGTTAACTTGTTGTTTCCTCTTGTTTTTGTGTCTTTTTCAGACTCAATGTGCTAACCAGATAACCAATGTGGAGAGGCTTACTGCTGAAGGGCACCGCCTGTGTCTTGCAGGTGGCAGCCACGAGGTTTCTCCACCAAAGACGCTTTTCATCCCTGTGTTTGAGACTCCTCACCCCGAGGCTCCTCCACAGGCCCCCACTAAGACTGCACGGCACAGGCTACTTCCTGGCACACAGTGGGACCAGGAGTTACAAAAAGGACACCAAGTTCACTGAGTTCCCAGCCAGCCCAGTCACAGTCACTGACATCAAACAGTATCTACGCTCCAAAGATATCCCCTTCCACGATGGCTACAGCTGCCTCCACATCCAGAGCATCTTCATCGAGGCGTCCGCCAGGAAGGACAGCTTCTCCCTGTTCATCGACAAAACCACCGGGCAGTTCCTGTGCATGGACACCCTGGTGGAGGGCAGCTGGGAGGACCTGCAGGACTGTCTGGAGGTGATGCAGAAGGAGGAGCAGGACTTCCTCAGCCCTCATGTGCTGCTTGGCTATCCAGAGAGCGTGGAGGAGCAGGAGGAGAGGGAGAGGGAGCTGAGGGAGGTGCAGGGCATCTGGTCCAGCTCGGTTCCCCTCACCGACCTCCCCGAGGACGAGGCTCAGCTCATTAAAACCATGTTCCAGGTATGATTGACTGTTATTTGGGATGTTGTTTTGTTACTTTGTCTGGCTTTTCTGTTTTATAACTCAGACTCAGTTTTAGGACCAATTTTATTCAGTATACAGTCGTCCTCAGATTTATTCATACCCTCCCATTAAAGAAGAAAAAAAACAGCTGTCACTGAAATAAGTTGAAATTGACAAAAGTTAAAATAAATAAAAGTTTTATGAAAATCATGGCATTGCTTTTGGGGGCTGCAAGGTGGCGCAGTTGGTTAGCACTGTTGCCTCGCAGCAAGATGGTCGCCGGTTCGCGTCCCGTTGGGGGCACTGGGATCTTTCTGCGTGGAGTTTGCATGTTCTCCCCGTGCAGTATGGGTTCTCTCCGGGTTCTCCAGCTTCCTCCCACACAGTCCAAAAACATGTTGAGGTTAATTGGGGATTCTAAATTGTCCGTAGGTGGGAATGTGAAAGTCTAACCCTGCGATGGACTGGCGACCTGTCCAGGGTGTCCCCTGCCTTCACCCTGAGTCAGCTGGGATAGACTCCAGCCCCCCATGACCCTAGTGAGGATTAAGTGGTGTATAGATAATGGATGGATGGATTTTAACAGGGCTTCTTCATTAACAATAATTACCGTAGCTAAATATTTTAGTCTCCTGCAGTTATGTCTCTGTTTTCTTAATCTTTCATTGTTTTATCACTTTTTTTTTGCCTGCTCAGGCCCAGTTCTGCCAGCATTATTTTTTCATTATTTTCCAGACACAGTTTTGGAGTTTTGCATCAGGAATATTAAATTTAATATGAATAATTTCAAGAGCATCAGGCACCAGCTCTCCCTCTCTGCTGCAGAGCTCTTTGTACACACTGTGCTTTTGTTCCGTCTGTCTTACTGCATTACAACCTGATCACAGGCAGGTGTGGCTACACTCAAGCCACTCGCTCTATAAACAAATCCTTGAAGTACTACTTGATAGGTCAAGAAATTATCACTGCAGTGTACTGGAAAAATACACTTTACTGAATTTAGATGACTTTCTATTTCACTGTGATGCATGCCCTGTGTTTTAGAATTATTCGTAATCCTGTACCTCCTTGTAAGCTTAGAGAATAGCCGATCTGTTCACGCAGTGGCAGTATGTTGTGAGCTGAAGCATCTATCAAAGTGGAAAAAACAGCATTTTGTTAAATCTACGTGTTTGGTTAAAGCAGTGGGTGAATGGAGACCAATACCCACAAACATTAGAGACTCTAAAAGCTTTGCCATGTTCAAAACCAGCCTCAAAATTTAAACATAGAGCCGCCACTAATGATTGCCTTGTACCAATTGTGTTCAGTGTATTTACTGACTCTATTATCTCACAGTGATGGACTTTTACATATTGTGTCATTTTATGTTGTGTAATTGCTGTTCTGTTTTTTGTTTGTTTGTCTACCTGCCCAGGGACAACAGATGTAAATTAGCTGCTAGCTAACACTGGTGCAATTACATTTAATTATGAATAATCAAAGGAACAAAGCTGTTGCCAGACACCATCACATCTGCATCCCAATAATGGAAAAGCAGGCAAAGTAAATCCACATAAAGCTCTACATAATAAGAAAGGAGACACAGTCAGCTTCCATTTACATAATTTTAATAAAAATGTTTTCCATTTTCCTCATGCTTTAGATTATACAATACATTGTTTCACAATCTAACGATTTGACTTTTTAAAACACATGATGTGAAGTTTTGTGATAAAAATATACAATATTCATGAAAATCCGAGGACTAGAAGTGCTTTAAAACCTCAAATTTGTGTCAGTTTTTTTCCTCACGAGATGATAATGTTTGTTCATGTTTTGTTTCAGATCACAAAGATCTCTAATGCAACTCTCAAGAAGTTTTGTGTGAGACTCTTCAAGCCAACCAAGAGTCTGGTTTTCCCCTGGTTCGGTGGCCCCGACTCCTCTTTAAAGGGGATCAAGCTTCTTTCCGCACAAAGAACAGACTCTGACAAAGTCACGTATAATGAAGCTACCGTCCCAAAGTGCAGCTCCTATTACAACTTGTTCGGCCTCCCTCTCGTGAACCGTTTGGACTCAGAGGTGGTGGTGACGGGTCAGGAGCTGGACGCTCTGGCTGTGAGTCAGGCCACGGGACTTCCCAGCGTCGCTCTCCCTCGCGGGGTCAGCTGCCTCCCTCCCATCCTGCTGCCTTACCTAGAGCAGTTCAAGCGGGTGACGCTGTGGCTGGGAGGAGACATTCGCTCCTGGGAGGCGTCCAAAATCTTTTCTCGCAAGCTGGGTCTGAGGCGCTGCTCACTGGTGCGTCCCGGGGAGTACCGGCCGTGTCCAGTGGAGGCCCTGGCCCGAGGCAAGAACCTCAGCCACATCATCAAGGCCTCCATCCCAGCAGCACATAAATCTATAGTTTCCTTCAAGCAGCTCAGAGAGGATGTGTACGGAGAGCTGGTCAATACAGACCAGGTGGCTGGAGTGAAGTGGACGAGGTTTCCAGAACTTAACAGGATCTTGAAGGGGCACCGCAAAGGAGAGCTGACTGTTTTCACAGGTACTGTGTAATTAATCATGATAATGATGATACGCGATACTTACAAGAGACTCAAATGTGCTTTACACACTAAAAAATACATAAAATGGTACAAGGAGCACATAAAAAAACTGATTATGAGTTGCAGGCAGTGTTGAAAAGATGTGTCTTTATGGATTTGTTTGAAGCTCAAGCAGTCATATTTAAAATTATAGTCCTGGTTCACATCTCTTTAATACTGATGTAAACAAATCCTTTATAGCATCATAAAACATAAAAGCTGCATTGATCCATATTAGGGCTGCAACTAACAGTTGTTTTCATTGTTGATTAATCTGTCTGACTAAATGATTAGTTGTTTAGTCTATAAAATGTCAGAAAATAGTGAAAAATATCGATCAGTGTTTTAAAAAGCCAAAGAAGACAAATGTCTTGTTTGGTCCCAACTCAAATATATTCAGTTTACTGTCATTGAGGAGAAAAGAAACATTTAAGAAGCTTAAATCAAAGCACTTTTTATTCTGCTTAAAACATTCCTCAAACCGATTATTTATGAAAATAGTTGGCATTTAATGTAATCGTTGACAACTAATCAATTACTTGAGTTATTGCTGCAGTTCTAATCCATGTCTGTCTTAACAGTGGATGCAATTATAATGTATAATGTAAAAGCTGTTGCACGTAGTGACAAACCCACTGAATCATCCAGCTTTGCACTTACCTTCATCCCTTTAGAGCGTTTTGGCATCTTTGAGGGCCAGAAACGCCACAGCGAGCAGCACTTTTCATCCGAAAAGATTAAAAAGTGCACATGAACAAGGGAGAAACGACAAGATAATAAAAGGGAGAAGCTTCCATGTTTTGTGCTCTTTTGTGCTTGCAGCCATTTAGAGCATAATGTTGCTTTTCTTTAAACACCACACAAAAAAAAAACATGAATGCTGCTTTCAAACTAAACTTTGTTATTATCAAGCCAGCTTCTATTCAGTGTTTTTATGTTTAGTGTTTGAGCTATTCCTCAAAAGAAGAGGACATAAAAACTCCAGAGTAGATGTGAAGTGAACCTTTCTTACATAGCAGATTAAAAACAGCAGAAGTTACCCAAAGTTCTTTGCATTTCAGACACAAGATTAAATGTATCTGACAGGCTGAAGTGTGCGCCGTAGTTGCATGGTTAGTTACTGTGCTGTTTACAACCGTCACGTTTCCTCATCAGGTCCTACTGGAAGTGGGAAGACCACGTTTATCAGCGAGCTGGCCTTGGATCTGTGCATGCAGGGCGTCAACACGTTGTGGGGCAGCTTCGAGATCAACAATGTGCGTCTGGCCAAGATCATGCTGACACAGTTTGCCATGCAGAGGCTGGAGGAGAACCTGGAGCAGTATGACTTCTGGGCAGACAAGTTCGAAGAGCTGCCGCTCTACTTCATGACGTTCCACGGACAGCAGAACATCAAGTAAGTCTGATCGGTGCTTTAGGAATCCACTGAGTCGTAGGAAAATCGACTGATCGGGTACCATTATTTATATTACTTAATTTAGTAATTGTTATTAAAACAGATGCCACATGAAGTAATTTTTTAGAAAGACCAGAAATATTTAATTTACTGTTATTAGAAAACACAATCCACCAGATTGAAAAAGGGGAACGCTGTGTTGTACAAAACAACACGATGCAGTAAGACAGTTTTTATCATCACCAGTGTCCTACTGTGGCGATGTGTGAGGTGATTATGTAAATTACTTTGACAAAAAATTAAGTGGCTCTTCAAATTGATGTTATTTAAGAAAGAAAATTACAGAATTTCAAGTAGAAAATTTGGCATTAACAAAGTGAGCTATACATAAATAGCATTTGCCCACTACGAGATATCATGACAGATACTTAATATGTATTTTTGAAAGTTGTGCAGAATAAGACGTTCATTCATCTCTGTGTGGCCTGTCAGTCTCTTTCCTCTAAACTTGATCCTTTATTCTCCACATTCTGCATTCTTTGTTCGAAACGAAGAGAGTCTTGGAGATTTGGAGCATTGTTGAAGTCAAATTAAAGAATTTACATTGATCACATTGGAAATTTACCTTTAAATTTGAGGGAAATCTGAATTTATTATGATTTCGAGCCAACCAGGAAAATAAATAGTGGACTTGTTGCGTACTAGATGTCATAGTCAACTGTTGTGTCTAGAAATTCCAACTATACTGACTTGTACTTATTTTGTGAAGATGCTGCATTGTTTTATTGTTAAGAAGTGTGAGAACTCTTCTCTGACTCTTTTCTTATTTTGTCTGCAGGACGGTGCTGGACACTATGCAACATGCTGTCTACCTCTATGACATCAACCACGTGGTCATCGATAATCTGCAGTTCATGATGGGACAAGAAAACCTCTCAGTAGACAAGTGAGTGAGAGGTTTGCTTTCAGTTAAGCTGAAAGGAGAAGATTTAAAATCGTCCGTCTTGGGTTTTTTTTTTTTTTATATGACAGATGGAAACCTTATTCATGTGATCCAGGTTTGCAGTCCAGGACCACATTATCGGAGTGTTCAGGAAGTTTGCCACCAACAGCAGCTGTCACGTCACTCTGATCATTCACCCGAGGAAAGAGGAGGATGATCGAGAGCTGCAAACAGCGTCCATCTTTGGTTCTGCTAAGGTGAGACATGGAAAGTTTCAGTTCAGTCAAACTAGAAGGCAAAACTAAATGAGCCGTAATAAATTCCCCCCTTTTTTTTTTGCAATGTTTTATGCACAACTGTGTAATTCATGGGTGACAGACTTGAACAAAAATCAATTTCAGGATTTTAGTTTCAAGCATGGACACTTAATTTTCTAAAATTCCGATGGAGAGACTGCAGAACACAAATGTTGAATTGACAAAAATAGCAAAAATAATATATAAAAATCACTGAATTATATAGTTTTTCCTTCATATAACACTGTTTCAGAAATTGCTTTTTTTATATTTTATCCCAAACCTTCTTTACACAAGACTAGAAAAAGAGATGCGTTACTTCATGCAGCCTTACAGTATTAGATTTATGAGTTTATACCATTTAGTTTTTCTCCTTCATAATTTATTTGTGAGTGTCACGTGCCGTTTTTGATCAGTAAGTAATATCTGAGCAAGTGTTGTTCATGAAATAGTCAAAAATTTCAGAAGAATGCAGAGATTTCTCTCAAATAATGTCTCTTAAATAATTGCCTTACTGTTGGGCATCGTCGCCTCACAAAGGCTCAGCTTTGTGAACAAATAAACACTTTTATTGATTTGATGCTATCATGAAAATGCATATGTCGTGACCTCCATATTCTAATGTAAATAAGACACACTTTGACTTGTAGGCCAGCCAAGAGGCCGACAACGTCCTGATTCTGCAGGAGAAGAAGCTGGTGACGATTCCCGGCCGCAGATCCCTGCAGGTGACCAAGAACCGCTTTGACGGAGACGTGGGCATCTTCCCTCTGGACTTCATCAAAGCCTCCCTCACCTTTTCAACTCCCATCAAAGGCAAGCACAAGCTGAGGAAGGTCGCTTACAAGCCAGAGAACGAGGAGGAGGTGGAGGGGAAACCAGCGCTGAAGAAGGAGGAGGTTAAAAAAGAGAAAGTAGAGAAAGCGACTAAAGCAACAAAGACTCCGAGAACTGTGAAAAGTCCTGCCACTGAAAGTGAAACTGCTCAGAAGTAATGGTAAGGGGTATTTCATAGTATGGATCATTTTCTCTGTTGATCAGAGTGATCATGTGAAGGTAGGAGCTGATTTAGACTCAAAACTTTTTTTTGTATGAAAGATAAAGTTAGACAGTTTTATGTCAACATGAGGTTCAACTAAAGTGAATGTAAATACATAAACTCACAGAAATGCAAAGACGATGATAAGTATAAATGAGGATGTGTTTCATTCTGGAGTAAGGAAACAATGTTAAAACCACAATGATGGTAAAGTGTTAAACTTCTAAACGGTCTTCTAAGCTTTTCTGTGCAGGTCCTGCTCAGTGTTAAGAATTTTCTGCTAAAAGTATTTCTGTTCCGTTCAATTCTGTTCGTAACGATACTGTGACACCAAAAGCAACTGGCTTTATGAGCATGTTCTGTGCTTCATAGTAACACTATCACTGTTTGTGGTCACACGTCACCACACGTGCTCTCTACTGAATTTTTTGTACAATTATGATTTATTGTATGAGCTCTGGGCTGCAAGGTGACGCAGGTGGTTAGCACTGTTGCCTCGCAGCTAGAAGGTCACCGGTTCGCAGTTCTTTATGCGTGGAGTTTGCATGTTCTCCCCGTGCAGCGTGGGTTCTCTCCGGGTTCTCCGGCTTCCTCCCACACAGTCCAAAAACATGTTGAGGTTAATTGGTGATTCTAAGTTGTCCATAGGTGTGAATGTGAGTGTGCTTGGTTGTCTGTCTCTAAGTGTAGCCCTGTGATAGACTGGTGACCTGTACAGGGTGTCCCCTGTCTTCACCCTAAGTCAGCTGGGATAGACTCCAGCCCCCCATGACCCTCGTGAGGATTAAGCGGTGTCTAGATAATGGATGGATGGATGAGCTCTTTTTTTTTTTTTTTTTTTGATAATAAAATGCACTTAATTCCGATTTTGATTGTCTTTTCGTCTGTGGTCAACAGGGGGCGATGTGTGCCAACGGTTCACTGAGCTACAGGTAAAAGCTGATGTGAATAAACCTCCCCAGCAAATTTCACCGCTCTTATTTGCAAAATGACCTTCATGTGTATTAGATTTAGCTTCATCTTTAGGTTTCAGCTGGAAAAAATTGCCCCGGAGAAAAAAGCTACGAGCGTGACGGAGCACAATAATGCACATTAGCAAGAAATTTGTGAATCCTGTGCTGTTTAGTAAAACAGGAAGCAGCTCAGTCTCCCTGTGTGATAGCATTTTTATAAAAACTTTCATTCAGAGTGGTATTTTGCAGCAACATCAGACAGTGTTGGCCTGCTTTCACCCTTCCGCTGTGACCGTTTCCGCCTTCAAATACTGATAATTAAGTGAGATCAAGTTACACGTGATGTTAAGAAGATGGGAAATCTATAGGTTTTAGCACACCTGCCTAATCTGCAGCATCGCGTTACACAATCCATTATTTAGACTGAGTGACTTTTAATAAATGCAAAGTGTCTCAAAACATCTTTACATGAATATTTCAGAGGTAAAATCAATTGCCCTGCCTGGGCTGCACTGGTGTGGAGTTACATGTGGGATCAGCAGCTTTCAGAACAGCCTGCACTCAACTGCAGTGTGCTGCTCTGTGCTACGGGCTGCTGCAGGATATATTGATGCCTGAAGCGTCGTACTTCATCTCAGTCACGGCAAACCCAAATAAATTTCAGATTTATGATATAAAGGGAACAGTTCACTGTGGGAATGTGAAAGTGCCTGTGTGTTTTATATCAGGGCCTTTGATGATTTGCAACCTTGGCGTCTGTGCCGAATAAATTTCGTCTCACCCTGGGGATCGCGCTCTTTAAAGTTCTTAGGACTTTGAGACTCTGATTAAGACGGAACAAGACTCGTGTCACACTGGAAACAAACTCATAATGTGAGGAATGAAGCGTAAATCAAACGTAGATATAGATGAGCGACAAGTTAAAGGAACATTAGGTGTTTTATTAAGGCACAGGGCCACCATGTAAATCTCTAGAACTCTGCTGGAGGGATGGAACACCATTATTCCAGCAGATATATGGCAGTGGATAGCACTAACGTTTCCAAAATGTCCCACAGGTGTTGAACTGCGTTGAGATCTGGTGACCGTAAAGGCCGCAGCATATGATTTACTTCAGTTTCATTCTCATAAACCATTCAGTGGCCTTATGGATGGGGGAATTGTCACCCTGGAAGAAACCATTCCCATCAGGATAGAAATGTTTCATCGCCGGCTAAAGGTTCAGAACAACTTTGTATTGGTTGTCCTTTCTCCCTAAGTCGACCCAAACCATGCCAACAAAATTTCAGACATCCTCACTGCCGGGGTGAAAAATTCTTGCCCTCTCATTTCACTTTGTTGTCAAACCTTCAAAACCTGCTGCCTTCAGTACCCACAATGCGACTCAGCTGCTTAGGTTGGGGATTGTGTTTGGTAGCAGCTACTGCAGCCTCGAGGGGAGTTGAGAGGTTTTTACAGGCTCACTTCTTTCCAACTCCACATTTTTTCTTTTTCAATCTTGCAGTCATCGAACTCCACCAAGTGAAATTACAAGAGGCAGTTCTCCATCTGGAGCACAGTGCTTCAGTCAAAGGCAACTGGACTTCTCCGAGTTGATAAAGACGTTTCACCTTCATCCACAGGTTTAGTCAGTTCTAGCCGACTGATGGGGAGTCCAAGGTATATATTATCACCTCCACAACACAAGGCTCACATGCCTCGAGGTGTGAATGGTTGTGTAACTGCTATGTGAGGAATGACTCGAGGTGATGAACGTGTCTGGTAAGGCATCTCAAGACTGCATTAGAAGTACCTGATAAGTGTTGTCATAGACTTCCTCGTCTGTCCCAGTTTAACAAAGATGGCTTTACCACTCCTCCTCCTCCTTCATGTCCAGAATGTGGACACCGCTGTCCTCCCCTTATCCTTTAAATACAGATGGACTGCTGAGTCTTGTCCGGAGAAGCTGGCTTTCCTGTGTTGAGCCTTGTGGAACAGTTTTTTAGTCTGTTTTATATATAGATCTGTGCACTCCTCACTGCATTAGATTGCATATATAGTGTTGCTGAGAGTAGGTGTTTTATCTTCTTGTTTTACCTTGGTCAAGAGAAGTCCAGTTGCTTTCTACTGAAGCGCTAAGGATCACCATGACCTGCATGATGGAGAATCTATGCAAACAAAAGGATTTCCAGTACGCTAAAGAAGGTAGTTGTATTAGACCTCCAATTAAAAAAGTAGTCGTCTGCTTCGTAGCAGCCAAAACAGGAAAAATCTAACCAGCTAATACAGGTGCGGTGTCGTGAACCTCTGAGCATGTATAGTGGACATATACATGGATTTTAGATCACTTTTGTTTTATTTTGAAAAACCTCTATAATGTTTGCTCATAGATGCAACAATGCCTCCAATAGTTTTCTTCTTCTTCACCGTATCAGAATGCGATATGTTCTGCTAAAACGTATATACACTATATACTAATGAATTCAAATTAATAATTTATTATTGATGTGAATATGCGCCTCATGTATGTTTATGAAGATTACTTCTTCACAAAAGAGGACAGGAGAGTAAATCCAGCCTCTATGTGATCAGCAGGGATAATATTCAATGAGTAAAACTGATCTACAGGAGAATAAACATACAAAATCTACACAGACCACCTGGGAGCATTAGTGCATTATATTTAATTATACTTTAAATTGTAATTTGAAGCTGGACTTTTAACATAAATAAAAACATTTCCAGCCTGAAGTGATGCAGAGAAGGGCCACATTGGGACGTAACGACTGTCTAGAATGCAGGAAAATACTGTTTTCAGGGGAGGCGGCTGTGGCTCAGGTGGTAGAGCGGGTTGTCCTCCAAAGTTGGTGGTTCGATGGGCGGTTCCATTCCCTCCACAGTCGAAGTGTCCTTAGGCAAGACACTGAACCCAAAGTTGGTCCCAATTGCATGGCAGGTCTGTCACCATTGGTGTATGAATGTGTGTGTGAATGAGAAACACATTGTAAAGTGCTATGTAAGTGCAGACCATTTACCAGGAGATCTGCAGGGAAAAGCACTTTTCAAACCTTGTTTTGGGGAAAAGACACCAAACTTTTTGAGTCTTTATAAATCAGATTTGACTGATGCTGATTTTATATACTTATGACAGTTTAAATCTCAGTTACGGTTAGCAGGAGTCAATTCCAATTTTTTTATGCAGAAAGCGGTATCTCTGTTTTTTCGTCTAATCTTTTTATTTTGCTAAGAAAATCTCCATCATGTTAGATTGGTGCCTGGTTTGTGACCAAGACGGCTGCAGAGCGGCGACACTTGCCAATAAGGACTTTAGTAGCACTGCTCGAGACCCATAAACAGACTGCAACGTTTAAAACCGATGGAGTTCCCCTTTATTATTGCTTTAATGTAGTTAGCCTCAGTGTGGACTTGACAGAGGTTGGGGCCTCTCTGTCTGCCTCTGATTTCTTTCTCTGGCTCCATCTTTGACAGACCGGTCCAGGGAAGCTTCTGGCACCAGACTCGGCTTTCACTTGGTATGTGCAACCCTGGGCTGCTCCTCAGATTGCTGAAACTATAAAATATTGTTGTACGCTGCGGGAATAATTCCTGCGTGTATTTGATGAGCATAAATCACTGCAGATGAGATGTGAGGAGGGAGACGGTGATGATGGCCAGAGTTTGGCTTCATCCTTCTTTTGCTCTCATTCTTGTTCTTTTCTGAAGCGTCCTTTAATGTTCAGTGTTTTGCTGTGAATGTTTTACTGCTGTGTGAGTACACATTGCTTTCTGTAATGACTCCAGGCTGTGTGCTGGATGTCTTCGGGTGTCCTCTTGACTGTGTGGGTGTGGGATATGGCTTCTGAGGTTTCTGAATGGGGCTCTTTGTGTTGTGAGGCATTGCTGCACCAAGATGATGGCCGCTCTGTCGCCTGCCAGCTCCCCAGAAGAGGCAGAAACACACAAGATTGGGAGCAAAGGAGCTAAATGCATGCAGACATACAGCATGCACGCACAGCTGCATAGAACTTTCTCAAATATTTGCACTCCAGAGCTGACAGTCGTACTTTAAAGCGTTTTTGAGCTTCATCCAAGTGGGCTTTTAAAGGTAATATCTTAAAAGTGTTCTCTTTCTTTTCGTCACACAGCAAACAGTCGGTGGAAATATTTGACTGGATTGAATGCTTTGTATTCCAGAACGCAACGCTGGACGTCTGATTGTTCTCTTTTGTTTTGAATGGCCTCTGCTGATCAGAGCTTGGCATGCCTGTTCAAATAGTTGCCATCTGGAGAGGGAAAGAGATGAAACACCGTGAGTTACGCAGCTCTTAATCAAGAAGGAAACAAACAGAATTCCCCTCCATCCAAGTCATAAAGGAGGTGAAATGAAGCTGAGAAAAGATGTTTCAGCCGCTGATTAACCTTCCTTTTCATCGCTTAAAGTCCACAGAAAACACCATTGGGTGTCATAATTACGAGTAAAACTCTAATCTGCTCCATAAACCGATTCCACAAAACCCGAAACATTTTAACAGCCCTGCTCCCAGCACCGCTGATGATGGGATGCATGGATACATGTCATGCATGC